TTCTATCTAAACCTACCCTAACCACTAACTTATTGTTCACCCTAATCCTAAACTAAACTCCAAGTCTACTAATCATCACAATAATACAATTTATCTAAAACTAACCTAATTGAAATATAATCATTCTCCCTAACCCTAAACTAAACTCCAAGGCTACTCATCAATTGTTAATTGTCAAGAGATGAATCCATGATCTAGGATACAATAACATGTAGCATGATACTGTTTAACAATAATACTAATAGAGAGACACCGTAAAACAATGATAACAACGAAGTAATAAAATAACTTACTAACATAGCTACCCAGCAAATGATGCTTCGTAAACTACGCACAATTTCATCCACTAGCAAACGACGTCTCCAGAAAATAGGTGATACCAGATCACTAGCAAACAATAGCTCCACAAAAGAGCGAACTACATATAACATCACCAACGAATGATGATCTGAAGAAACAGTAATATCGAATACAACCCACCTGCAAATGAAGAAATAACAGCTGCAAAAAATAAACTAATTAATGAAAGAAGAAATTATAATATAGCAAAAAAAAAAAGTCTATACTTATCAAGATAAAGCACCAATTCTGACTTCACCAGCAAACGATGAAACAACAGTCCAAAAGTGCGACTATAAAAAACCCCTATGTCGTTACTTACTATACAATAATACCAATAACACTAATAATATAGCAAAACAAAAGTGAAACACGAAAAACATGACAAGTATACCTCAACTAAAACCTAATTATGATGATGCCAATGACACTAATTTCAACACTAATGGTGCTACCAATAATGACACAACGTCAATACCAACGGCGGCACCAACAACGACAGCAACTACGAAATAGCACTACAAAAAATAACCTAGTAGTAAAAAAAAAAAAAAAAAAAAAAAAAAAAAAATTTCTGATACTTATATGCAGATATTTATTAATTATAATATACTGTATAAGCACGAAATAATGTGTAGGGATATGATTTCGAATTTCGGCCTAAATTAAGCTTAATTTGGGCCAAAATTCGAATTAATGCCCCTGCGCGATCCACCAATCAAATTCAAATGACCCACTAGGTCATTTCACCTTTGAAATGACCCAATAACTGGTCATTTGTCATTTGGGTCATTTGGGTCATTTCAGGTCATTTACCATCACTAATATATATAGCTATAAGTTAGTGAAAGTAAGCTAAACAAGTGTGAAAAAGAATAGAAGCACTTGTTAAAGATATTGCTTGGCAACAAAAATCTAAAGAAACACTACAACACAATATGAGCTATATATTCTGTTTACAGAGAGAAAGATAACTATACTAGACTCTAAAATTTAATGTCTAAGAAAATAAAATACAACAACTTTTCATACAAAGCCAAAAACTACTTTTACACTTTTATAGAAGAAAATAGCAAAAACCCTATATCACAGATTCTTGGTGTAATACAAATACTTCACGATAAGCTACATAGCCATATACAAGTAAAAGCAGAGAGATAACACATAAAATTATATCAAAAATATGTAAAGTCATGTACAATACACTCCAAAGCTTAACCTTTAAATATTATTATATAAATACCAAAGCAACAAAATATAGTACAAATCATATATCACATCAAATATAATATTAGACATAGAACTAGTAAAAGCTATATGTGATGAATATAGATCATGAGAAAGCTACAAAAATAGATCGGAGTCACATGCTAAACAGATATAAAAATATTTTTAAAAAATCATTAGAAGAGTTTAATATTCTTAAAGAAGAGTATATAGAAGAAAGCCTTAGAATAAACAAAGAATTAGCAGTCAACAGGAAAGAAGAAAGCTGTATCTTTCTATATAAACTTCTGGAATGAAAGAAGAAAAGCTTTATTTATAAAAGCCTGGGTAATATATTTTGAAGAGAGCAAGATGTTAAGGCTTTCCAAAGGGAAGATGGACAGAAGTGTACTTGATGACAGGGCAAGTTACAAAGCAATACTGAAAAATATTCCAAAAACTACCCAGAAAATTATGCTGTTAAAATAGCTAAAGCCAGTAAATACATAAGCAGTATACATATCACATAATTATAATAAAAATCAAAGAAGTACAGCCTTCATGTATTTCGAAATTGCAGAGGAACAACAAATAGCTTTAGATAAAAGAATGTACTACTACAACACATGTTTAGACTAGTATATGCAAGACAATAAAGATTATGAAAATAGAAACACTAAAACAAATGATAAAGAAAAGCCTGAAAATCAGTCAAACAGACAGAAGACAACAGATATAGTATAAAGTAAAGAAAACCCTTACATTCTTAAAGAAAATAAAGAAACTAAAACAATTCAGTTAAATGAGAACAGAGAGCATGTTGTATCTCAGTTGTATAAGGGAAAAAGAAAAGAGATAAAACCTGTCCAAGAACAAGAAAAATAAAAGAGTAGATAACAAGAAGAACACACCTTATGAATTAGCTAGAAAAAGAAGACTATAAAATAATGAAGAACCCTTAGACAGCAATTCAGTGCACAGCATGCTTTTACAAATTTTGAAGAGATTAAACAAGCTAGAAAACCAAAAAGCAGGTACTCACCCTTTCGCAATAGGAGACACCTGCTTCTAAAGGTGCCTTTGGCAAAAGAAAGAGAGTCATTAGAGAAGGTTCCAGAAAAAAGACTCCTAGATATAGGGAAGAGAAAGGAAGAAATAAATGAACAATTTGGGATACTAAATATTGGGTTTCATAATATCAATAGGATAAAAATAACAAAAACAAGTTAAGAGCAGTATTAGATTTTGAAGAGGAGAAAAAATTGGATATTTTGGGTTTAGGAGAAACTAGAGCTGTAATCCAGGTCGAAAAATAGCAACCCGGGTTTGACCCGGGTTATCCATTTTTGACCCAGGTTAACCCTTGTCAATAGTCACATATGTTAAACTTGAAAATATATTTAAAGATAACCATTTTAAATCCGGATTTTGTGTCAAAAAAACTTTTGACCTTGCTTGTAATTAGAGTTCATTCATTTTCTACATCAGAAAAAACTGGTTATTGCAATCTATCTGTCCATTTAACTGACCTGTTTGACCCAAGTCAAGCCAATTTTTGACCTGTGACCCATCAAAATTCTGACCCGTATGGGTCAAGCCAACCCAGGTAACAGCTCTAGTATGTATAGTACATTCGTAAAATATCTTTTTTTAATGAAATTTCACCATGTGTTGCATCAACTATCCTGTACTTTGAATGTTTCTATTTTTCTTTTGTGAATTGAAGACTTAACAGAAATAATATAATTTTTAAAATTCTTAGTTCGTTCATTATAAAAAGGTACCATTATAGAGAGAGTTGACCATACTTAATATATAAGTATATAGAGTATATTACAGTAATTTCGGAAGTATATAAGGTTAACAAAGCTTATATTAGTTTTAAAAGTGAAACATTACTACTATTATTCTTTTTTTAAGATACAATTCCAGCGTAAAGTTTTGTAATAGTTATTTCCTGGACAGTTGGGTATAAGTGGGGCTAAAAGTCCCGCTTATTACATAGTGCCCAGAACATAACTGATTTATACCCTGCGATTTTGATATAGTGACTAGGGTATAATTTTATAAACTATATCAGATATACTGTAGTACGAGTTTATTTGAGATTTATTACTATATTTTTAAAGCCAGTATTTTCTTATAAGCATATTATACTAGAAATCAGAAACTGGTACAAGTCTGGAGCATAAATTACTTTTTTTACATTATTTCCAATCACGTGGTATTTGTTGTGTTGCACAATATGCAATGGTAACAGGCAGAAATTGCAAAGTTAAGTTTTTGATATTCTGATAATAATGCATCAAAAACAGAATTTTGGCATCACTTTGCATAGAAATTGAGATTTCTTCGCTACGCTCTAGACAATTAAGAACTTTAATGTTCTGGTTTGTAAAAAATTCCGAAAATTATAACTTATAAATATTATAAAATTAAAGAATACGAGTATTTTTTGAATTCAAACAATAATATTAGAAGCTAAAGATTATGAAAAAAATAAAAGAAAACATGCTTTTTTTGAAAATAATTCGAGTAGAAATAATGTTAAAAAATGAGTGTTTTCGTTCTATTAAAATTTATAATTTTATTATTGTTATTATTAGAATTTTTAATTGGCGCAAATTATTTGGACTGATTGATACGCCACCAACTTGACACATTCAAGAATTTGCAAGTTTGTATGGCCTTAAAACTGTAAATATCCTCAATTTATTCAAGTGTCCACATCTTATTCATGGATATATTATTTCTGTTGTGTTTCTCCTAATTAGAGATGGCAAATGTTTTAAAACACAATCTTAAAAATCTCGATTGTTTGATTTTTAATTGTTTAAAAACGGTTTAAAACATTATGATGTAATCATCATATATAAATAAAATTACGTAATTTGATTTAATAAATAAATAAAATTACGCAATTTGATTTAATAAATA